TTAAAAGTGAAGAAATTTTTTCGAATCGTTAATTTATCGGAATATTAAATTTATCGAATCGTTAGTAAGTGATTCAACTAATTGGGCTTTTTAAAGATACAGAAACGGGCCCTTATGGAGTATAAATGTTACACTTGCAAATAAACTGGATTCAAAATTTTCTCGTTTTACCTTTTTACTTCGAGGAAGAGACCAAACGTTTCGATGGTGACAAATCAACCCCCATAAAAGATTCTCACACGTATTAATTAAATTATCCTAAAATATATTATTGTGATGATGCGATAGAGGCATAGACTAAAGCACAACAAAACACACTCTGTGTCAGATTCCCACTGAGTTTTAGAGTATTCCCCTTTAAACAATTGGAGATTATTGTACAAAACTTAAATTAAAGGTTAATTACTTAATTTCCCAAAACATTAGATACCAAATTATCAACTCTAAATAATGTGACGATGCCTTCTCTTTCAGAAACGGAAGAAAAAAAATGGAATCTTTGGAATCGACTCGTTTTTGCTCTGTTACTCTTCTCCTTATCTCACTTTTATGGTTTATACCTTCAAGCTTAGCTCTTCAACAACATGAAGAAAACCCAACGATTATTAGAACTATGGAGGATTTTTCCGGATACCCAATTCACGAACCGGGTCAATTCGTCTCCATTAATCTCGCTTCTTCACTCTCTGTTGATGCTCAAGGACTCCAAAACCAGGTTCCTTTTCAGATTAATCGACGATGATATGTTTTAGTAGAACAAAGAGACTCACACAAGTTTAAAGGTTTGATTTTTTTATTTGTAATGGAAGTTTTCTTTGTGTGTTGTTTTAGATAGATGAGCTTTCTAATTTCTCTGATGCTCCTTCTCCATCAGTAACTAGAGTTCTATATACTGATAAAGATGTGAAGGCACGAAGGTAATTTTGAATCAAATTTACTAATGTAATAGATTCTGTTACTACACTCTAAATCTGAAAATTGAGTTTGGTTTTGGTTGATTTTGCAGTTATGTAAAGAATTTGATGAAACTTGCTGGTCTTACTGTAAGAGAAGATGCTGTTGGTAACATATTTGGCAAATGGTTTGGCTTCTCTCTTACTCCATTGAACACCTTTAATCGTATGTTTATTGTATGTTTGATTAATCTAATTTGTTACATCCTCTTAACTTTAGGGATGGTTCAGAGCCAAATCTTCCTGCTGTAGCGACTGGTTCTCACATCGATGCTATTCCGTATTCAGGCAAGTATGATGGTGTTGTTGGTGTTTTAGGTGCAATAGAAGCTATCAATGTGTTGAAAAGGTATGAAGAATCTGAACTGTATTGAAACTTTAGGATTAAAGAAAGCAAAATCTTTGGTTGTGATTTTTTGTTTGTTTTCTTAAGGTCGGGATTTAAACCGAAGAGGTCTCTGGAGGTAATCATGTTCACATCTGAAGAACCTACCAGATTTGGGATCAGTTGTTTAGGAAGGTACTCTTATTTAAATCTTTATGAACAACAAAAAGATCGATACTTTGTTTCTTTTTCTTGTCTTACTTGTAGACGTTCTTGATACAGCCGCTTACTTGCTGGAAGTAAAGAACTTGCAGAAGCTCTAAAGACTACAGTTTTTGATGGCCAAAATGTGTCTTTTATAGAAGCAGCTAAATCAGCCGGATATGCAGAAGATAAATGTGACAACTTATCGAGTGTGTTTTTGAAGAAAGGAAGTTACTTTACTTTTATAGAGTTGCATATCGAACAAGGACCTATACTCGAAGAGGAAGGTACTGTTTAGTTTCACTTTTCCATATCCAAAAGTGTTTTGCTTTTGCTGTAGACCTTTATAACCAATATCATATACTATTTGACCACAGGTTTAGATATCGGTGTAGTAACCGCCATTGCTGCTCCAGCAAGTTTGAAGGTGGAATTTGAAGGCAATGGAGGTCATGCCGGTGCTGTGCTTATGCCATATAGGTGAGCTATATTATAAGACTTTAATCATCGGCATAACCACTTGTACACTGATCATCGTACAATGATAATTTTGTAGAAATGATGCCGGACTTGCGGCTGCAGAGTTGGCTTTAGCCGTGGAAAAACATGTATTAGAATCGGAATCAATAGATACTGTAGGAACTGTTGGTAAGTTTTGGCTCATTGATTTCACAAGAACCTACTCTCAATGGAACTTATTCAAAAGATGAATCGTTGTGGTTTAAGGTATTTTGGAGCTACATCCTGGAGCAATCAATAGCATTCCGAGCAAATCTCGTCTTGAAATCGGTATTGCCTTATGTTCAACCACACATACTAATAGAGAAAGTCTGGTAAAAGTAGAGTAATCTCGAGTGTTTTTTCTTTGATCGTTGGGACTAAGTATTTTTTTGTCTTGTCTCAATTAAAAGATACAAGGGATGTTGATGAAGCGAGAAGAAACACTGTGATCAAGAAAATTCAGGAATCTGCAAACACCATAGCTCGAAAACGAAAAGTGAAGCTATCGGAATTCAAGATTGTAAATCAAGATCCACCGGCACTCTCAGACAAACTAGTAATCAAGAAAATGGCAGAGGCAGCAACAGAGCTAAACTTATCACACAAGATGATGATAAGCCGAGCTTATCATGATTCTCTCTTCATGGCCAGGTATTACAAAAATCTCCAAGTTTCATGTTCAGAATACAACCCTAAACTCTCAAATCGAGCATTATCAACCCTGATAGTTCTACCACAAACAACAAACTATCATCCCACTAGAGAGTTCTAACTCATAACTTTAGAACATTCAAATTGAAACACTTAAAATCCCTTTCCACTTAGAACTTCAAAGTTCTTGTTTAGAATGATTCTTAACTTTGTTTTATTTTTGTTTCCAGGATATCTCCAATGGGTATGATATTCATCCCGTGCTACAAAGGTATATATGCAAATCAAATTGACTGTAATCCTAATCGAAATCGGCATCGCCACTGAACCTTTTTTTCCGGTGTGTGATCTTTTGCAGGATACAGCCATAAACCTGAAGAATACTCATCTCCTGAAGACATGGCTAATGGAGTTAAAGTACTTTCCCTCGCTCTGGCTAAGCTGTCCTTAGACTGATGCAGAAAACCTCTCTCTCATGCAGAGGCTTTTGCACATTCACTACTTGTTCTTTTGTGTGTTCAATATGTGTATCTTTGACAATGTAAAGAAAAATTCAATAAATGATATGGCTAATGTCTATATCACTTATCTGTCACAGTTGTGCATGGTTATAAAAAATTTGTAATTATCAGAGTTCAGATACACTAGTTTCTATTACAACTGATTGATAAATATGTTATTTAAAGTAATAAATTGACGTTTGATGAGAGATGACACAAGTTGTGAATGTTAGCTAGCTCTGGATCGTGATAGGGAACTAATTCTTGTGCAGCTAATAGTATTATGAATGGTTGTCAAAAGATACTTTCTTTTCCTTTTTTTACTTGAAAATAGAAAAAATTCTAAAAGTAGAATGTGATTGTTCACATAAGAATACGTCTTTATTTTTTTTTAGATACCAAACTTCGGGTCTTTCATGTTCATACTTGTGGTGTTAAGGTAATAGATAGATGTATAGTTACAGATCAATGATCATACATATATATTGAAACTTAGGTGTACCAAACTTAGATTCATGCATTATGGATATCTGAAATTAGAATATCCGCGTACACAAAATTGTCTAAATATGTCTAAAAAAAAAAACAAACAAGAGAAATTTTGAGAAATGCCACTTTTGAAATGTCATTTTTCGAAAATACCACATTTTCAAAATATGGTATTATGTATGGCTTAACTATGTTGTATTATGTACGACATTTTTAATATCTTTGCAAAAATGTCACTTTTTCAAAATTATGTAAAAATTACCACATTTTCAATATTTTTGCAAAAATATCACTTTTTCAAAATTATTTATTCATTATATTATTTATATTTGGGTTAACTATGTTGTATTAGGTAGGATTTAGGCTTTAAAAAATACCACATTTTCAAAATCTTTGCAAAAATGTCACTTTTTCAAAATTATTTATTCATTATGTTATTTATGTTTGGGTTAACTATGTTGTATTAGGTACGATTTAGGTTTTAAAAATCTATAATTAGTGACATTTTTGCAAATAGACAATCTATTATGGCATTTTCGAAATGTGGCACACCAAAAA